TTTTCAACATCCCCACATGAAGGCCCCTTTGTCCTCCGGTGTCCACCCGTTGGTCTGCTTTGGTTTGCGTGTGGCTGTCCTGTCAAATGAGCCAAAAGGGCAATGGGAAACTGCCATGCTCTCAAAGTTGGGAGCCACCGGAGCCAAAACGACTAGCTTGTTTGCCGGTGTTTTGAAACATGCAGAACGGAACGCTGTTTAGTATTTCAACAGTCAGCCTGAAGAACTGTGGCCATGTTGCACCGCTTACGCACAGGGATCCTTCAAATGCCAGGTTGCTTTAATTTGTTTAACGAACCGATTATATAGTATCAGGAGAGGCCCACGGAACACAAACTTTGCAGAATATCCCTACGCGCAGGCACTCGTGGAAACTCGGAAAAGCAAGCCCAAGGAGCATCCCCAACCAGCGTTAGGCCATGTTTAAGCTGCTGTTTGAACAGCCTTTTGGTTTCCCCCAGGAAACCAGGGGTCGATTGTTCAAGCAGATTTGTCCCAAGACCTCGGCCCGAATGGCCAAGACACCATCCCAGTGACACCTGTTGGTCGATTCTGGCGGTTTCTCACTAAGATTGGAAGTTCACGGAAGCTCTTCCAAAAGGAAGGTTCAAAAGGGGGGTTTATGCAGTTCCATGTTTGGGAGAGTTTTGGCGAGGGTCGCTGGACCGGGCCATGCCCTTCACACTTGGGATGAATGAAGCCTGATTTGAATACTGGTACCAATCCCAACTGAGCCATTTTCAAGTAGTGGACAGATGGGGATTATCCTTGGCAATGTGCGCCGGGGCTACACGCGTTGTTTTTTGTGTTTTTTTTGGTGTGTGTGTGTTGCCAAAGGGGTCTCTTGGCGGAAGTTGTGTGGAAGTTTGTGGTTTGATATGCACTGTTTCAGTTTGTATGGAGAAGTGGGGGGCAACAATTAGCAGAAAGGTTGCGGAACGCGTACAACGCGTAATTTCGAAAAGAGCAGCTTCCAAACCCGCGGAACATGGAGACTTTCTCCGGCCGAGTAGTTGCGGACACAAAGAAACAAGAGCTTGCTGCGCGTCCTGTCAGGAAGCAATACTGCTTGCAGAACGATGAACGAAATGTACCTTGGAATGCGCGGAACGAACCCCGTCATCTCGAGGCATCTCCAGGTATGGGTATTGGAGGTGTGACTACGTGCAAATATAATATTACTCGGTGCCAAATAGCCCATAGTTTCTAATTCACCCCAAGGGAAACCAAAAGGATGTGTTATGTTTCCCGGTTTTTGAATTTAGCACCCAGACTCCCATTTTTGTGTCGGAGACCTTCTTTGGTAGGTCCAAAGGGCAGCCCAAAGGAAACCACCCAGTTGCTGGGTTCCCCTATTTTGACGCATGCCGGACGATTCCTTTACACATTGCCAGACTTGGCTTGCCTTTTGGCCTTTCTGCCTTGCGGTTTTCCCCATTATTTTCCCGCAAGTGTTCAGTGTTGCCGATGCGAAAAGCAAACTGAGTTTTTGCAGGTCTGAGTCTGGTCCCTAGGAGCTAATGCCCAGCGAGTGGGGTGGCCTGCGCGTCTTTATGACTGGCTTGTGGGCCTGACATGCTTGGAAGGTGCAAATGAGTGTGTTCCAAGGGATCCTTTCTAAGGTAAGCCATTGGGCCAAATAGAAAGGTAGACGTGTTTTGTGAGGGTACCCTTTTTTGGGCTGCTTCTTTTCAAGGGAAGCCAACGGGAACTCATCCATGTTTTGGGGTTACCAAATTTGGAGACACGGTCAGATAGGTGTGTTCCTCAAAAATGCAACCTACCGTTCCACCCGACCAAAAGGGGGTCACGGAGAAACCCGACAAAAAGGGGGGCAATGAGATTCCTCAGGGGTTGCGTTCCGTGTGAATCAGAGCAAGCCTCAGACAAAGTTATTGGGCCCATTGATTCCGATTGGAGGTCTGCCAAACTTGTCCCACCAAACCTTTGGTGCATTTTGCCAAGGGATGTTAGGACTGAACAACTTTTTGCCAACTAATGGGTTTCCGTATTAAACCACTAAAAGTTATTCACTTTTAGCAGGGGAGCAGAAAGCAATCAAGAAACACATGTGCAAAAAGGACAGCCCCGCTATAGCCTGACTTTTAAACCAAGCGTTGAAGTTCTCAGCTGCTGGTACCTTTTTGTTCAGGCCGCACTAAGTCACTAAGCGCTTGCATCAAGTATTAGCTCGCCTGGGGACAACACGAGCTCACAATTTTGCCAGCCTTTGAGGAACACATTTGTTCTTGACATGATCACGACTGGTTGCTGCAAGACGGGCCCCATCGGCCCCAAGGGGCTAGAAATGGTGAATGGTATCCTTCTCTTTGAGTACAGGTCCCTCCATTTGAATGAGTTTCTTTTGGTGTGCCTTTAAAACCAACAGGTACCCTTCAAAAAAAACAACCCATCCCATTTCCTCTTAATTTTAATAAGTTTGCATCGTTTGCGGATGTTTCAAGCACAAGTCGTGATGGCTGACCTTGACACTATGTCAAGTTCCTTACCGAAGGGAAAGGGCGTGAGGAAAATTGGGACTCTTTCACTTTGGGCAAATGCGCCGGAAATGGATGCTCTTTTGACACGGGCACATGAGCAAATGCCAGGTTTTCCATCCGCTGGACTTGCATCCGCCTGCCAGGGTGGGGATGGCTACGGACTTCTACGAGGAAGTGAGGTCGATCATCTCCAAGGGAGGCTTCGATGTGCGGGGGGCCAACTACAGCACATACATCCAGGCACGGGCTTGCCGGGCTTGGGCATCGATTGGCAAAAGGAACAAGCAACAAGTAGCAAGACGAGGCGTGGTTCTTTCCGGGTTCTTTCCGGGCCAGTGTAATGAGAGTAGCGTGATATTGGAAGCTTCAAAAGTTCGGGCTCGTTGGCTTTGATCTGGAAAACAGGATGATGGTTGAAAGAACAACATGGAAGCAATTTGCATTGAAAAGGGTTGGACAGCAGAGTTCCCTAGTCGAGGAAACACGCAATCAGACCTGTGACTCTTAAAGGGCGCTTCCTTTAGCCAGCAACAAGGGCTTGCATGGCTTTGTGCCAACACGGTTTGGAAACCGTTTCTAGTTGAAGGTTTGCAAAACAAAAACGACTAGACCCTTTAACTAACGAGACAACGAAGCCAACGAAGCCAACCAACCAACTTACTAACTGGCTAATTGGCGAACTAACCGAACCTGTAAACGTAACCTAAACTATCTTGCCAACGGCTAACTAGCAAAAATATCTGGCTGGTTGAGTAGCTAGCTAGCTAACTAGTTAAAGAGCTATCCAACTAGCCAACAAACAAACAAACAAAGAAAAACCAGACGAACCAGCCAGCCAAACTCAGTCACTCACACTCACTGACTCTCACCCACCCACCCACACCACCCGCCCGTCCGCCCACCCACCCACCCACCCACTGACTCACTGACTGACTCACTGACTCACTCACTGACTCACTCACTCACTCACTCACTCACTCACTCACTCACTCACTCACTCACTCACTCACTCACTCACTCACTCACTCACTCACTCACTCACTCACTCACTCACTCACTCACTCACTCACTCACTCACTCACTCACTCACTCACTCACTCACTCACTCACTCACTCACTCACTCACTCACTGACTCACTGACTCACTGACTCACTCACTACTCGCTCGCTCGCTCGCTCCCTCACTCACTCACTCCACTCACTCCACTTCACTCACTCCACTCACTCCACTCACTCACTCCACTCACTTACTCCACTCCCCTCCCCTCCCCTCCCCTCCCCTCCCCTCCACTCCACTCCACTCCACTCCGCTCGCTCGCTCACTGACTCACTGACTCACTGACTCGCTGACTCGCTGTCTCACTCACTCACTCTCTCACTCACTCACTCCCTCCCTCCCTCCCTCCCTCCCTCACTCACTCACTCACTCACTCACTCACTCACTCACTCACTCACTCACTCACTCACTCACTCACTCACTCACTCACTCACTCACTCACTCACTCACTCACTCACTCACTCACTCACTCACTCACTCACTCACTCACTCACTCACTCACTCACTCACTCACTCACTCACTCACTCACTCACTCACTCACTCACTCACTCACTCACTCACTCACTCACTCACTCACTCACTCACTCACTCACTCACTCACTCACTCACTCACTCACTCACTCACTCACTCACTCACTCCCTCACACTCACTCACTCACTCACTCACTCACTCACTCACTCACTCACTCACTCACTCACTCACTCACTCACTCACTCACTCACTCACTCACTCACTCACTCACTCACTCACTCACTCACTCACTCACTCACTCACTCACTCACTCACTCACTCACTCACTCACTCACTCACTCACCACTCACTCACTCACCTCACTCACCTCACTCACTCACTCACTCACTCACTCACTCACTCACTCACTCACTCACTCACTCACTCACTCACTCACTCACTCACTCACTCACTCACTCACTCACTCACTCACTCACTCACTCACTCACTCACTCACCACTCACTCCACTCTCCACCACTCACTCCACTCACTCCACTCACTCCACTCCTCCACTCACTCCACTCACTCCACTCACTCCACTCACTCCACTCACTCCACTCACTCCACTCACTCCACTCACTCCACTCACTCCACTCACTCCACTCACTCCACTCCACTCACTCCACTCACTCCACACTCCACTCACTCCACTCCACTCCACTCCACTCCACTCCACTCCACTCCACTCCACTCCACTCCACTCCACTCCACTCCACTCCACTCCACTCCACTCCACTCCACTCCACTCCACTCCACTCCACTCCACTCCACTCCACTCCACTCCACTCCACTCACACTCCACTCCACTCCACTCACACTCCACTCCTCCACTCACTCCGCTCTCTCCTCTCACACCACTCACTCCACTTACTCACTCCACTCACTCGCTCCACTCTCACTCACTCACTCCACTCACTCCACTCACTCCACTTCACTCCACTCACTCCACTCACTCCACTCACTCCACTCACTCCACTCACTCACTCCACTCACTCTCCACTCACTCCACTCCGCTCCACTCCGCTCCGCTCCGCTCGCTCGCTCACTGACACTCCACTCACTCCACTCACTCCACTCACTCCACTCACTACACTCACTCCACTCACTCGCTCCACTCGCTCCACTCGCTCCACTCACTCCACTCACTCCACTCACTCCACTCACTCCACTCACTCCACTCACTCCACTCACTCCACTCACTCCACTCACTCCACTCACTCCACCCACTCCACTCACTCCACTCACTCCACTCACTCCACTCACTCCACTCACTCCACTCACTCCACTCACTCCACTCACTCCACTCACTCCCCTCACTCCCCTCGCTCCCCTCACTCCACTCACTCCACTCACTCCACTCACTCCACTCACTCCACTCACTCCACTCACTCCACTCACTCCACTCACTCCACTCACTCCACTCACTCCACTCACTCACCTCACTCACCTCACTCACTCTCACTCCACTCACTCCGCTCACTTCATTTACTTCACTCACTCCACTCACTCACTTCACTCACTCCACTCACTCTCTCACTCACTCATTGACTTACTCATTCACTCACTCACTCACTCAGTCACTCACTCAGTCACTCACTGACTCACTCACTCGCTCACTAAAAGCAAAACATGTTTCCAGGCGCGGATGGTGGACTGCGCGCGGGCGGCGGCGGAGCCTTCGATGTGGCTGTTTTGCGGCATGGTGTCCGGGCCCTGGAAACGAGTCCCTTGCCGGTTTCGATAGCAATCAGCAGGGGTTTGGGAAATCGTGGGATCTGAAAAAATGAAAGGAAACCCACAGCTCCCGACAGGTCGCCTTTCGCGGGAAAACATGCAAGCGCAGCCCAGGAAGGACAGTACCTAGCAACAATGTAGCCTGCACTTCTACACTCCGGGGTTCAAAAGTTTCGACCTTTCGGACCGACGCCTTTCCAATTTCTCAACTTGCCTTTGTGTCGGCGTCTCTATGTGACTTGTGGGTGGATTACAAAACCAACATGAGCCAATTGCGCCAGCTACTTTCACCCAGCAGTAAGTTTTGACCCAGCACTCTGAGAACCAGTGAGAGGCATCTAGAAGGGAGGGGCCCGATACTGAGGCACCCACTGAGTTCAAAATCCTTGCTGAAGCTTATGCCGGATGGTGGTGGCTTCCCTTGTTGTGTCGCGCTAACCATCTCGGATTAGGGATGCACATTTTGAACAACCCGGCCCGCCTGACCAACAAAAGCTGACTCTGAGGATTTGGTATGGGTTGCTGCTCCTGCACTGGATCTTCAGGCCCGGGGTTTGCGAGAAGATGGAGGAGTAGTATGGAACACCCTCACAAATGGTTGTGAACATAAATGCTCATGGTGTAAATGTCCACGGTCCCCAGACAAAGGTTATTGGAGGAAGAATGTCCCTTGCCAGCTGGATATCCGCCTTCGGAATGGTCTAGGCAAACACCCTAGAACCAAGTTTTGATGACTCATTTGGGTGCTGAACGACTCAACTAGTTGTAATTTGTCTAAGCACAGTATGGAACCTTTGTGTGTGTGTGTGTTCCCCCTTTTTCTAGTCGCAGTGGTTTGTCACACTTGTCGCATGCAGCGAGCTCGAACTGAGCTTTTCCGTCGCGGCAGAGATCCTTTTGATGCATAGAGGGCTGTCCTTCCCCAAAGGGAAGCCACCTTGGCTCCTCTCAGATGGCAAGATGCGACTCTGTCCAGGCCATGCATCGGCAACTGCGTCGGGGATTTGCCACTCGGCCACCAAACATTTGGCCCAGGCCCCCCCCCCCCAAACCACCTGGGCACTGGAAATTGCAGACACTTTTTGGGGTCACCTAACACTCCGAACATTCCGTCCGTCGGGAAAATTGACATTTTGGGTTTGCCAAGATTTACATTGGCGTTCACCCGGAGTTTTGTAGGGATCTCCGCTCGGGGAAAGCATGGGCATTGGGGGTTATGTTAATGCGCGGTGGAGTTGTTTGTCCCGCAGCAGTGTGCTTGTGGCACGTGTTAGGTTGCCAGAAATAGCTTTAGCCCTTTTCCCTGAACAGGGTGATATGTTGGGAGACATTTGCACAGGCGGAGAGATTCTTGTTGCAGCAATGAGACCACGATGAACAAGAGCATTGCGAGCAGATTGCAGGCGCTGTGTTCAACGCGGATTCGCGCAGGTTGCCGGCTTGCAGGTTCAACATTTATGTAGCGAGGCGCCATTCTTGACCACAGAAGGTCGCCCGCAAATCTGGTGGCGAATGCACAATACATGAACAGTACATGACAAGGGGACCAATCGTGACAGGCTGAACAACTGGTGGTGGTTTGCTTTCAGCCACAGCTTGATGCAGACAATTGTTTCTTCCGCGACAGCAATGGTTCAAGATTTGGTTAGCTTTTGGGGCAGCTTCCTGGCGGGTGCGTTTTCAGCCTGATGGCAACTTTTGCCAAGGACTGAGAAGATTCTCAAGGCGGGTTCGCTACATGACCCGAGCTGGATTCCCTGTGGGCCTGAAGGGGAGGAGCGGTTCAAAACCAATCTTCTTACTATATATCTTTGAATTCTGTGGCGGTTTGGTTCTCTGCGTAGGAAACAAAGAACGGGTGGTTGTCAAGATGTGGTCATACCCCTGCTTGGATTGTTTGGATTCTGAAGAACAGGTAACAACCACAAGTCTAGCCGTATCCTGATTGCTTTGTTGGTTCGATTGCTGGGCTCCTGCTCCTTCTCTCCGGTTCATGAGCATCCTCAAGGGTCTGAAGGGGCGACTCGCGCTGAAACGGCCAATACTTTACAAGGCGCCCCCCCAAGCCCAAATTGCTTAGCCCCTTTTTATAGTGACCTCATCTTCACCTCTGGGTTCTGTGTCTTCTTTTGCCCAACAAATCCATGGTGTTTGGGCACAGAGAAACGACCTTCCGGTGTTTCTGTTTGAGTTTTCCACGGGACCCGCCCCATGCAAAACCATTGCAGGGCCTGAAGATCCACAGAGACGCGGAGGTCACGAAGATCACTCTCTCCCAAGCCAAGGAGACAGGGAGCAAACAAAAAGACGCGCGACTCGTCTTGGGGTTAGCGAGGTCAAAGCAGAAACTTGAGGATCCATGCCAGATACAAGACCAACAGAGTTAGAAGGGTAGGCCAGGTCAGGGTTGAGCTAGAAGTCGGTTTTCTCGCCGTCTCCAAACTTGTGTATGTGTTGTGGCTTGGGAGTTTCGTCATGTTTGTCTGGGGCCAAAAAGGTAGAACGTGGTTTTCTACATCTTACCAGGTCAGGGTTTGGTCCCTGTGACAAAAGATGTCAACCCATTCATCGGATTTGCTGCCATGCTGCTTGACTTCCTCTTGTATTCTGCAGACATTGGCAATTTGTCGCCCAAAAAGAATGGCCGTTCTACGCCGACAAGGTCCGTTTCTTGGGTGATGCTTGGTTTGTCTACATTCTGTCCATGTTTGTCTACGCCTCGTGGTCGCATTATCATCAGAATATTTGAGGGCAAAACGTGGATACCAGCAGGCTTTGTTGTAGACATACTTCTGCATAGTCGCTCCGGCATGTCACGTAAGTGTCTGGCCCCGGAGCGAACTCTTTTGGCTGCAACGAGCCAACCAGGGATCGTGTCAAGCAATGGCCATTGTCAAGCAAAAACCGGTCACTGTGTCATTTATTCATTCAATGATTGCAAGAAGACTATAGATTCGGGATGATATCTGAAGATTCACTGTTCACCACCCAGAATCTACCTGGTTACCATTCTCCAACTGCCCCCCTCCCCCAAAAAACAAAGAGGCAAAAACTGATTTTGACCTGCCCACAAAGCAGCCAACATCAAAGAATGAATTGGTGCCCGTGCCTTCATGATCATTCCCAGCACTTCACGCAGGAGAGGGAAGATCTGAAGGGCTTGCTGTCATACAGGCGTGATGGGGGGGGGGCCACCATGTCGAAACCCGAAGCATACCAGAGCTTCGACAGGGCCATTTCATGGAAAGCAGTCAGCGTCGGCGATGCGGAGGTTTCGGAGTTTGTGACGCAAACTCACAATGATAGCGGTTGCTTGGGGTGGGTAGGCGCGGTGAACCACAGTGTATGGATTAAAAGCGGACAGGATCGCGTGGGCTTGCTAAAAAGCAGGCCCTTTTTAGTCATGTCATCTTGTTCCTAACAGATTGTCATGGAACCCAGAACAAACCAGTCTTTGGGGTCATTAGGGGTAATGTTTGCAAGAAATCAGAAACCCTAGGCTGTCGGTGAATGGTGCCTGTTCTGGCGTCATGTGGTTCCCTTTCGAACCAATAAGGTCCCCAGCCTTCCATTTGACACAAGCCTCAGTTGGCCCTACTTCTGGGTTTCCACTACATGCATAATAATAAGAATGATAGTAGCAAAAATAGCACCAACAACAACAGGGATGCTAAGTTACTAACAACGAGACTAATACTCAGAATACATGAGCATAGTATATGTTAACAGTAATAAGAATAATAGTAACGAAAGTAGTAGTGGTATTAAACATTTAATACACACTATGATAGTTTGTACATTGAACCCACAAAGAGGTGGTTTGCCTAGAAACCACAACTTTTCTCGAAATCAGCGTTGTTTGGGGATTTCTCCAGAAACGAACAGTTTGCTCGGGATTCCTCAACAAATCCAGGTGTTTGTTTTGGATTCCTTTGGAAGTGGATATGGGTGTGATTTTTGTTAGGGTACACTTTGGGGATATTTTCAAGGACAACCGCAAACGGCAACCAGCGATGGGGTTCCCCTTCCCCACGTCCGACGTCTGAGCGCGGAGGCTTTCGGCCAATCCCAACTATGAGGAGGCGATGATGGCGTTGAAGTTTCACCCAGAGGGGCCCGCAGAGGAGGCGCGAATTCGCTTTGGGTATATGTGTCCACCTAAGTGGTTGGTTTTTTGTGTGAATCCCAAAGGGTC